CTGCAACGGGGCCACGAAGGGCACGACGAGGAGGCCACGAGGGGCTGCAACGGGGCCACGAAACAAAGCGAGGGGGCCACGAAGGGCTGCAACGGGGCCACGAAACAAAGCGAGGGGGCCACGAAGGGCTGCAACGGGGCCACGAAGGGCAGCGAGATCCCGATTCCTAGGTAATCTGTGAAGAAGTCCTAAGCGTGAGCGCGACTCCTGGGTGCCGGGGTGTCGGGAGCGCGGCGCTGGAGTAAATTGCAAGAAATTCCAACGCAAGGCCGCTATTCTTCAGTAAATTGCAAGCAAGTCTCCAGCGAGAGCGCGGCTCCAGAGCGCAGGAGGAGCGAATCCTGAATAAATCGTAAGGAAGGCCCAAGCGAGAGCACGATTCTTGAATAAAATGCGAGGAAGTCTCGGGCGGGAGCGGGGGTCCTGGCTAAATTGTGAGGAAGTCTCAGGCGGGAGCCGTTGTTGTTGTAACCCGGGGGCCATGGGGGCCAGTTTGAGCAGAAAGACTTTCCTTGACAAAAAACAAAATGCGAGCTCCAGGGGGGGCACTTCAATTGCAACAAAATCAATGTGCACCGGTGAGGGGGATCAACAATATGCATTCTTTAAGAATGACAGAACGTTCAACAACAACACGGACAGGGACATTCCCTGGGCCCCGGCGCTCGGGCTCCTCCAGCGCTCTCCTCCTTTGGGGGGCAGGGACCCTTCCCAGGCCCCGGAGCGTCCGGGGACCCCCCCCCCCGGAACAGCACAACACAACAACGGCCTGGGTTGAATTTTAAAACAAAAGACTCGACCTCTATCAGAGGTGGATCCATCCTTCATGCCATGTTGCAATGTCTGCACCAGCGAAGTCCTGGAATCGTATGGGGATCCGATGGAAATCCGATGGGAATCCGATGGGAATCCTACGAATCCTATAGGAATCCGATGGGAATCCTATGGGAATATTATGAATCCTCTGGGATTCGTATGGGAATCCTACGAGTCCTATGGGATTCCTATGGGAATCTTGCGAGTCCTATGGGATTCCTGTGGGAATCCTACAGGAAGCCTCTAGGATTCCTATGGGAATCCTACAAGAAGCCTCTTGGATTCCTATGGGAATCCTACAGGAAGCCTCTAGGATTCCTATGGGAATCCTACGAATCCTGAGAAGCCTCTAGGAATACTATAGGCATCCTATAGGAAGCCTCTAGGAATCCTATAGGATGCTAATCCGTATAGGAATCCAACACGAATCTTCTACTAATCGTATAGAAATCATATCAGGATCCTATAGCAACTATATGAATCCTACGAATCCAATGGGAATCCTATAGGAATCATATAGAAACGCTCTAGGCAACCTGTGAATCCTGCACGATTCCTATAGCAATCCTGTAGGAATCCTATGAGACCTGCAGGAATCGTATAGGAATCCTGTGAATCCTATAGGGACCCTATTGGAATCATATTATTCCTAGACGAATCTTCTAGGAATCCAATAGGAATCCTATAGGAACCCTGCGAATCGTATAAGAATCCAATAAGAATCCAACAGGAATCATATGAATCCTATAGGTCTTATGGAAATCCCATAGGTATCCTATGATACCCATATGAATCCCATACAAATCCCATCGGAATCCTATAGGAATCCAGTGAATCCTATAGGACTCCTATACGAATCCAATGAATTCTGCATGAATGCCATAGGACTCCTCTAGGAGTCCGGTACGACTCCTATAAGAATCCTATCGGAATCCTAAGAATCCTGTATGAATCCTGCAGGAATCGCATAGGAAGCCTAAAGGAATCCTATGAACCCTGTACGAATCCCGAAAGAATCCTATAGGAACCGCAAGAAACTTCACGGAATCCCATGGGAATCTTCTTTTACGTAGCCTTGGGATTCCTATAGGAATCCTACGAATCCTCATGAATCCTCTAGGAATCCCATAGGAACCCTATAGGGATCATATGAATCCTATACGAATCCTATAGGATTCCTATGGAAACTCTATGAATCCTAAATGAATCATGTAGGAATCCGATAGGAAGCCTACAGGAATCCTATGGACCCTGCACGAATTCCAAAAAAGAACCATATAGGAATCGCAACAATCTTTACGGAATCCAATCGGAATCCGATGAATCCTATACGAATTATTAGGACGCCTATAGGAATCTTACGAATCCTATATGAATCCTGTGGGTATCCCATGAACCCTATAGGGATCCAATGAATCCTATACGAATCCTTTTAGAATCCTATGGGGATTCTACGAATCCTATATGAACTCCATAGGAATCCCATGGGAATCCGATGAATCCGATACGAATCCTACAGGAATCACATGAATCCTATATGGATCCTGTAGGAAGTCTATAGGAAGCCTAAAGGAATCATATGAATCCTACACGAATCCCATAGGAACCCCATAGGAACCCTATAGGAATCCCATAAGAATCAAATGAATTCTATACGAATGCCATAAAAATCCTATAGGAACCCGATACCAATCCCAAAAGAATCCTATAGGAATCCTATGGGAATCCTAAGAATCATATAAGAAATATCATAGGAACCCTATGAATTCTTGACGAATCCTTAGGAATCCCATCGGAGTCATATGAATCCTATATGAATCCTGTAGGAATCCGATAGAGCCCTGTAAGGATCCGATGAATCCTATACGAACCCTATGGGATACCCATGGGCATTCTATATTCCTGCGCGAATCCTGTGCGAATCCTATGGGAATCCTATAGGATCCTATACGACTCCTATACGAATCCTATAGGAATCCTATAGGTCCTATAAGCATCCTATAGGAATCCCATAGGAACCCTGTAATGATCCTATGAATCCTATACGAATCCCATAGGAATCCTACAGGAATGCTATAGGAATCCGATGAATCGTATAGGAATCTCATAGGAATCCAATGAATCCTGCACGAGTCCCATAGGAACCCTATAGGAACCCAATTCGAATCCTATAAGAATCCTGAGGGAATCCTATATGAATCCTGTAGGAATCCGATGGAACCCGATGTGAAGCCTAAAGGAATCCTATGAATCCTGCACGGATCCCGAAGGAATCCTATAGGAACCGCAAGAATCCTAAAGGAATCCCATAGGAATCCTTTAAATCCTATACGAGTCCTTAGGATTCCTATAAGAATCCGATGAATCCTATATGAATCCTGTAGGAATCCTATAAGAACGCTATAGGGGGCCGATGAATCCTATACGAATCCTATGGGAATCCTGCGGGAATTCTATGAATCCTAAGCGAATCCTATAGGAATCCTATAGGAATCCTATACGAATCCTATCGGAATCCTATAGGTCCTATATGCATCTTGTAGGAATGCCTATAGGAATCCTATACGCATTCTATGAATCCCATACGAATCCTATAGGAGTCCCATAGGAGTCCTACGAATCCTGAACGAATCCTATAGGCATCCTATAGGAATCCTATAATCCTATACAGATCCTATGCGAATCCTATAGGGCCGGTGGATTGTGAGAAAGTCTCAGGCGGGAGCCCTCGGCGTTGTCGTCGTTGTTGTTGTTGGGGGGGGGCAGCCCGGGGCACGACGCGCGTCCCTATTCAACAACAACAACAACAATAACAACAACAACAACAACAACAACAACAACAACAACAACAACAACAACAACGACGACGACGACGACGACGACAACAACAGGAGCAGCAGCAACAGCAGCAGCAGCAACAACAACAGCAGCAGCAACAACAACAACCACAACAACGACGACGGCGGCAACAACCACTACCACAACGACAACAACCACGACAACAGCAACAGCAACAGCCACAACAACAATTACAGCAACAACAACAACAACAACAACAACAACAACAACACGTCGCCGGAGGGGCGCCGTGTCTTTTATGTGCCTCAGGCGCCCGAGCTGCACCCAGGGCTGATCCCAATTGGACCGCGCGGTCCCGAGAGACATACTAGTACTAAATGTCTTCCTTGGAGGCGAGCGTCCGAACCGAACATATAATATACCCATCTTGTAGTATATCAGTTCCCGAGCGGTGTGGCCGGAAAACGCCCACCACGACGCATACACTATAGGATGTTTCGGTGCGCGCGTCGCCCGAGGGGGCGACGCACATATAGTATAAGTATGTTGGGGTGACGCTGAAGCAAGACAGCCTCCCAGAGGCCAACGAGGCGTCGACGTCTGCCACCATCACATCCAAAACGACACAAACCAATATCCAACGATACCCACCAAAAAAAACATATCCTGGGTCGACCTCGTTCAAGAGGTCGGCGGATGTTGCGCAAGCCTGCAGACTATGGAGGAGGTGGGAGGGAAAAGGGAGGAGTGAGAAAGGAGGGAGGCGGGATGGAAGAAGGCGGAGGGATGGATGGGGGGGCAAGCTGGGGGAAGGAGGACGAACGGGATGCGGGAAGGAACGAGGGTGACTGAGGGAGGCGTAGGGAGAAGGGAGATGAAAGAAAAGAGATGGGAGAAGTGGTGCGAGGCGACACCAGACCACGTTCGAGGTGTCGAGGTGAGCACGAATGGAAGCTCCCACGCCCCTGGCCTTCAAAGAGACGAGTGCGCATGATGCTTAGCCCCTGAATTGGCCTGCTTCGTCTTGCTCCACAATCTCGAGCCGTAGATCCGCCACAGGCGCTCGCAGCAGTTGGTGTGCGTGTGCGACGGGCCATCGTTCGGGCCTGCTTCGCTTATAGCCGAGGGGGGCCGAAACGTGCCCCATGGCACTTACACCCGCCCCACTCCCCGGGCGCCTCTCCGCCCCTTCCCCCCGGCCCCACCCTTCCCCCCTCCCAGGCGCCCGCCCTGACGCGGTGGCGGATTCGCGCGGCAGCGCAACTTTATCAAACGTGATGAAATGGAAGATCCTCATCCTCCTCCTCCACAAACTACAACAGTATCGGATTCAAGACCGCAGGTGTACCCTTTTTGGCGCAGCCGCAGCATACCCGTCTTGCCACTCAAGGAGGTGTTCTCACCAGCGGCGCGCCAGGGACACCTCCCAACCCTCCAGACAACTGCCCGCACCACCTGATTGCTCTCAGGTCCCCTTTCCCTGACAACCAAGCTCGAGCGTAGAGATAGGGGATACTGATGTCAGGGGCCAAGGGCGCATAGGACATCGAGGAGGGGGTTTGAAGCGGCACATGTGACTCGCCTGAGGAGTTTTACCGAATACCAATACAGCATGATAAGTGCAAAGAATACAACGTAAAAACGTGTCGTAGACCACAAAACCTTAACTGGCGAACCTGCCCGACTGCCAACTCGCACAACAAACCCTGACATGGACAACAGGGCAGGAAAGCCATCATCCCTACTGCCCTCCTCCTGTTCCTCCTCCTCCTCCTCGTCCTCCTCCTCCCCCTCCTAATCCTCCTCCCTTACCTCTTCCTCACCCTCCCTTGCCTCCTCCTCCTCCGCCTCCTCCGCCTCCGCCTCCGCCTCCGCCTCCGCCTCCGCCTCCGCCTCCGCCTCCGCCTCCGCCTCCGCCTCCGCCTCCGCCTCCGCCTCCGCCTTCGCCTCCGCTTCCGCCTCCTCCTCCTCCTCCTCCTCCTCCTCCTCTTCCTCCTCCTCCTCCTTTTCCCTGCGCCTTGGCGTCGATTCTATGCTGCTCGCTTTTGGTTCCAGCTCCAGAGCTGAAGCAGAAGAGCTCGGTCGACAGGTACTCCTGCCTGGACCGAGAGTCAGCCCAGGCCAGGGGGCGGGTGCCGCAGACCCAGAGGCTGAAGTGTAAGTTTCTGGGGGGGGGGCATGTCGACTGGGCCCGTAGCCTCGGGCGGGAACAAAAAGTTCTCGTCTGATGGGCCCCCCACCCCTGTTGTCCTCTCTCTCTCTCTCTCTCTCTCTCTCTCTCTCTCTCTCTCTCTTTCCCTCTCATTGACTCTCCCTGTACGGGCGGTGAACCTCCACCTCCTCTTCCTCCTCCTCTTCCCCTCTTATTCCTCCTCCTCCTCCTCCTCCTCCTCCTCCTCCTCCTCCTCTCCTCCTCCTCCCTCCTCCTCTCCTCCTCCTCCTCTTCCTCCTCCTCCTCCTCCCCTCCTCCTCCTTCCTCCTCCTCCTCCTCCTCCTCCTCCTCCTCCTCCTCCTCCTCCTCCTCCTCCTCTCCTCCTCCTCCTCCTCCTCCTCCTCCTCCTCCTCCTCCTCCTCCTCCTCCTCCTCCTCCTCCTCCTCCTACCTCCTCCTCCTCCTCCTCCTCCTCCTCCTCCTCCTCCTCCTCCTCCTCACCTTCGGCATTATCATCCTCGGCCTCCTCCTTCCCGTCCTCCCACTGCGACGTCGCGTGTTGTTGTTCATAACGTGGGCCCTTGGATCTCTGTTTCCTGCCCCTGGGTGTCGCGGGGTGTTGTTTCCTGCCCTGGGTCCGAGAACTGTTTCTGCCAACAGCAAGCCAAAACAAACAATCGTGACGACTTGCCTGACGACCTGAAACGATCCCTGGATCTCTCTCAACCGTGGCGACGAAGGACCCCCAGAAAGCCAAACGACAAGAATCAAGTCGTCGTCGTCGTCGCCCCCAACCTCCGAAGGCCCGACGTCGTCGAGTCGCCCACTGAGCTCTCGACCCCATCCCTGGGGCCCGATTTGTATTCTGGTATGACGTCCGACGGCCCTGGCGCCCAGAGACAGCTGGAGGACACCGAACACGGTGGGAGAAAAAACTAGATAGAGACATGCGTCCTCCTTCTCATATGCATCCTCCTCCTGTTCCTCCTTTTCCTCCTCCTTTTCCTCCACCTCCACTCTGTTTCTCCTCCCGTTTTTCCTCCTCCCCCCCTCCTCATCATCATCATCACCAAAGCAACAGAAGTACCAGCATCAGTAGCAGCATCAGCGCCAGCATCATCATCAACATCCTCACCATCGTCATCATCATCGTCATCATCAGCATCACCATCATGAGCAGCATCAGCATCGTCACCATCTTCATTGTCATCATCGTCGTCATCATCATCATCATCGCGATTAACACCAGCATCATTATCATCCTCATCCTCCTGGTCCTCGTCGTCATCGTCGTCATCGCCATCGTCATCAGCATCAGCATCAGCATCATCAGCAGCAGCAGCAGCAACGGCACCAGCAGCGGCATCACCATCATCATCTTCATCGCCATCATAATCATGAACCGCGCAAGAACATCTGCATCATCATACACAATCGGATGAGGTCGGCCCTTCGAGGGCGTCCGGCCCAGCGAGCGAACGCACCCGCATTGGGCGCGGCGCGCCAGCCGCGACTCCGCGGTCGGCCTTCCTGCGCGGCGCAGGTTTCGCCAACCGATGTGCCGCGACAAAGGCACCTGGATGCAACCGCCCAGCCGAAACGGGCGAGCCCTCGCGGAACCGAGATGAAAGCCAGCGGGGCGGGGGGGAAGGGCGAAATGCCGCCCCACCAGCCTGCGCAGCGCGCTGTCGCCGTCGCGCCGCCTTCGCCGATAAATCCAACAGCTGCAACGCGGCGAGGCGGCGCGCGGGCAGAGGTCGGGGCGCGCCGCGCACGCGGCCCCCACCTGCCGCGCGGTCGGGCGCAGGGCGCGCGCGGCGCCCGGCGCCGCGGCGCGACTGGGGCCGCGATTCGCGCCTGGCGCTCGGCGTCGAGCCCGCGCGCCCGGGCTCGCGGATCGCACCCCTGCCTCGCCTGAGGCGACAATGAGCTCGCGCGCCCCCGGCCGCGCGCGTTCGCGAACGGGCACCCCCCTCCC